AAATATATTGCAGAGATATACACACAAAATAAACAAGCATTACACTCCTCAGGTGACTTTATTATTCACTCTCACTTGTCTTGTCATTCTGTTGTTTTACAACAAATCTCTTCATCATTTTTGTCTTTGTAGCAATTACAAAAGCATAATCACATCTGTTCTAATGTAATTTGGTATAAGACATACCTAAGGTGACTTGCCCTCTTTGGACTTACTGACTTGTGGAGTTGCCAAAAGAAGTCCCTGCTGCCTCTTATAGGAGTCCTGCCTGACACATACTCAGTGCTAAATAAATACGTATTGAATGAATCAGATGAAGGCCTTATCTAAAAGAGTAGATAATCCACAAAATACACTGTGTCATAGGGAGCAGGAAGGGGGAAGATAGATGGAGCAATGCCTTCCATATAACACCAGCCCAGGGAGTTTTCTGACATATGAATTCTGGCTCTTTTCCACTAATTTGAAAGCTTTTCTCCTATTGTAAATCCAGCTATAGGTGAAGGTTGGTTAATTCAGTTGATGCTCCAGACCTACAACTGCCCCACCTCATGATTACACATTACAAGAGAGATACATTTTGATAAGTGATTTTTAATGAGGTGTAGATAATATTTCATTTTCTTTTTAGTTCATCCTTTTTAGCCCTTTTTTTGGCCTGCTTCCCTAAAAGCCCACTATTTTATCCTTAGATATATAATGAAAAGGTGGACAGAAATAGTACACTTCTTCCATTTTCCCAAAAGTGGTAAAATAACACATCCATAATTTGAACCAAATATGCTTATTATGAATACTCTTGCTTCTTTCTGGATTTTGAGCCAACTCATCTGAAGTATCTCCTTTAACCATTCTTGGAACTGCAATCCTCCACTGGACCCCTTGGTTACATAAAGCTTATTCCATCTTGAGGTAGAATTACCCCAGGTAATTGTTTCAATATAAAGGTACACTATCCCCCTTTCTTTACCTTGCTAGGAATTTCTGGTTCCTCCAACTTTCTAATCTCATCTCAAATATTTGAATTCCTCTTTCCATTTTAAATAGCAGCAGATGTAGTTGGCATTATTTACGATATATAGGACTTAATGGCAATAGTCTGTTTGAGGGTTACATTTACCTCTGAATAAATGGAATAGTTAAATGGAATGCTCCAAGGTGACTTACAGGCATCCTTGCTGATAACCTATCCTCCACACATGCCAAGTGCATGAGAATCCAGGAATCAAGAGGAATGCAAAAGGCACCTTGACATTCCAAGGCTCCCTGTAAGTGAGAAGACATGTGTCTTTGATGGAATAACAGCTGTCTCCTTTGCCAGTTCTTCCAGATACTGCTTCCTCTCATCCAGATGGAGCCTCAGTCAGTTTTCTTTTCTCCAGGTGCTATCTCCTCAAAGGCATTAGACAATCACATGGAAACAAATCTTTATTAGGTAAATGGAGGAAAAACAGAGAGGAACAAAAAGTCCTTTTCTTTCTCTGTTCTTGGACCCATTGTCTCCTCAATAAAGTGTACCTTCCTTGAGAACAGGTATCTTCCTTCAGAATCTGTATGTTTCTGTTCTGTTTGAACCAAAGTTTTTTCTTCTTGCCATTGGAAGACATCTTCTTTTTTCTGTTTTGTTTTGTTTTGTTTGTTTTTTTCTCCTCTAGGAAGAAACCATTTATTTGACATGAGTTTAGACTAAGAATTCTGGAAAAGATAATCTACTCTAAAGAAGATATTCATTGGAAGAGTAAAATTCATCTTAAATCACACAGAAACATAATATAGACACACACAGTGATAAAGTAAGTGAAATGCTATTTACTTAAGGAAAAGGAACACAACATCTGCAACCATGCAAATGAATACACAAAATGTGGTTTTATCTCAGAATAGAAACTATTCTCCAATATTTCAGTATTGTTGTGGGTATATGATACCATCGATGTATATTTGATTTACTGTTACAGATCACAATGTATCCATGCTTAGTTGTCCTGAGCTATTCTTTTCCATGTCTTCCAGGGTCCACCTGACATACTAATATACTTTCTTGAGTTTCCTTATCATCATGAATACCCCAGTGGAGCACCCAGGTGATCTGTCATTTATCTCTTATTTTCTACCATGTGAACAATTCTTTTGCTGTTTTTGTTGGTCATTCCTTTTCCTAAAACTTTTCCTTTACACCATTTCCCTTGCTGAATAACTTATTTATAGTGCATTTCACTAGAAATGGAAGAATAAAGCTAAAAGAAACAACAAAAAATGGTAGCCTTTACCCTTCTCTCAGTTTTGGTCTTCTCCTTTAGTTCTGTTCATAGTCTTATTTTTTGACAAGAGAGGTCCCCAGTTCATCTGTCAATATTAACTTGCTACCTTTACTAGACAAGAGTGAGAAATCCACTGGATCCCCAAGGCCTTACTTTAAGTAAAGACTAGACAACAGAGCACTAATCACATGAATTTACATGGTGATTCACCAATGTTATCACAGAGAAAAGCATTTAAAATAAAGGGAACTCCTGATTGCTCTTATTAGAGGACACTCTGTTCCTTGACTCCTATAGACAAAAATGATGATAGGTCAATGATCATCTAATCTTATCTTTAGTATTAAAAGTCAAAGTCCACTGGACTGATGCACTTTGAAACTTAAAAAAGAAATGTTTCAGCCTAACTTATCTTTATCCTCATATGCAATTTTAAGTGTTAGGAGATTCTTCTGTGGCTCTTTACTTTCCCTGTTTTTATGCAGTGGTTGCCATGGTCTTTTGTTTTACAGGAAGAGAAAAGATGCAAATCTTTTCAGAGCCCTAGAGGTCATAGTGAGCAGACAGCCAGGGGACATCCATGCTTAAGCTTGGAGATCTCCTGTATGCTAAATGAACTAGGCCAAGTTTGCTGAAGCAGCAGCACAAACCACCAGCTTTATTAGCTAAAGGCCACTGAGGGCCAAGTTTTTGTAACATTTGAAGAACTGTTTCTTCTCCTTACTTTCTATCTGGTCTGAAACAAATGGTTTGTTTGCAGTGTGTTCACACTGGAAATGGATACTTTCTAATCCCTGGATGAGGTGAGAAGATATCCCAACTAAACAGACCAGTGAATATCAATGACTCTAAATCCAAATAATAAATATGGGCAATGGAAATGGATGTAATAACCAAACATGGGGTATAGAGATGGATCATAAGGTTGGGATAGCTCAGAAGCTGTCAAGTCATGTTCCAAAAAATATTTCATAAAAGTGATCTGGAGGAAAGGAGATGGATGAAAAGCCAACATTTGAAACTCTGAATAGGTCCTTAGTCCATGTCTCCATTGCTATTTCCCCAGATTAAATGCTTAGAAGTCAGTGGCTGTGAATCACTGAAAGGGGAAAGTGAAAGGGATCAGAGAAATTTTCTGAAATAGAAAATGGCATGCCTAAAACCTTCTTAACTGAACATTTATCATTGCCAGATGCTCAGATCCACAGGCTCTTGACTATGCTTCCTGATTTCATCCTGTTCGCTCTGAGTTCAAGTCCTATGTCTGCAATTTTCTACCTGTGTAAAGTTGAGTAAGTTACTCCCATTGAGCCTCAGTCTCACTTGTAAATTGAGGGGGTTGGAATAGACAACCTCTAGAGTTTCTCCTAGTTCAAAATCAATAACTCTTGGGTGCTTTTGTTACTTTTCTGTTTTCATGTATCTTATCTCTGAGATTCTCTGTTTCTGCATAACCAAAATCTGACCTCATTTCTTCTTGCTATTATTTGTTATAAATCTATATTGTGTAAATTACTTGAATGTCTTTCTGGACTTATTAGGGGATGAAAATTCCACGAATTGAGAAAAAAAGATTAAAAAAATGTAGCAGAAATGGTTAAAGCTGATTATTGTCTATGGAAATTTGCCACTATATTTCCACTCCCACATTTTAATTTGCTGTGTATGTGGGCTCAGATTCCCAAATGTTTTGCCAATGGGGCATGAGCTGTGGCAGGTACTGTATAAGCAAGATAGACTTTGCATACAAACCTGTTGGTGAACCATCTGTCTGTAGTTTGATGACCACTACTTTATAGCTAAATCTGGAGAAGCTGGTTCATGGCTACGGAATGATGAACTTTTAGCCACAATTCAAGAACATTCTCTCCCCAAATGCAGAAGACTTCCAATGGGTTTTAGTTGAGTAAACACCTGCAACAATGAAGTCACAAATCCTTGAAAGAACAATAATTTCTACTGAAATTTTTTGTTAGGAATAATCAGTTTATTTATAATTATTAAAAGATTGTCTATTTGATTAATTCAGCACTGGCAAAAAGTAAACCAGACTACAGCCATAGGTACACATTTCTAGAAATTCTTTTATTTTGATTTATCAAGGGAGACTAGGGCAGCTAGGTAGTGTAGTGGATAGAATGTGAGACTGGAGTCAGGAAGACTTCCTGAGTTCAAATATGGCCTCAGACACCGACTAGTGGTATGTCACCCTGGGCAATTCACTTAACTCTGTTTACCTCAGTTTCCTCTTCTGTAAAATGAGCTGGAGAAAGAAATGCAAACGACTTTAGTATCTTTGCCAAGAAAACCTCAAATGGGGTCACAATGATCAGGCATAATAAACAACAAAAACGACACATCAGAGGATCCATATCATGTCAAATCTATCTGTCTATCTAACCATCTCTCTACCTATGTATCTATCATTACAACCCAGGATATTGATGTGATTTTAACACAAGCCAAGTGATTGGTTGCAATGATCTGAACTGATGGCTTTAGCAGCTGCAGCGTCTCACTTAAATAGCCTCACTGTAGGTAGGCTTTGGTAGTTTCACTAATTAAAAACAGGTGGACTATTTGAAAACAGGGGGTAATAAGAGATGCACCATTCCCTGCTTTGGCAGTTAATGATGATAAGATCATCTACAACAGCTGGTAATTAAAGATGTTATCAACATGAGCAGAAAATTATGTGTTTCAGTACCAAAATCACTTTTATCAACCAGTTTAGGGTATCTTTTTTTCTAACTTGGGAACCAAGTTTTCTTTAACAAATGGATATAATAAATATTCAGAGTGATTGTTGTTATTAAGATCCAACCCCTTAAGATAACTAGTCAGATTGTTTTCATTCAAAATCCTAGTGTCATCTTTTATTTTACTTTTTGTTTACCTGCCACATCCAATAAATTCTCAAGCTCAATTGACTTTTCTCTATGATGTGTTTCAAATCTGTCTTCTTTTTATTCTCAATACCACTGTGCTAGATGAGGCCCTCATTACCTTGGGCTATTTCAGTGGCATCTTAACTGCGTTTGTTGCCTCTTGTTCCTTTGGTTCTCCAGTTCATAAGACTTTTAGATTACCAAAATTCTCAGTCCACAAACTAGTGAGGTACAAATGAGCTTTTTATATTGCTGTATTTAATCTGCTTCCTTGAGCAACAATACAATAAGTCAAAGTAACTCTAATGGTGAGTCATAAGTGGAAATGAACTAATAATCTAATAATCCTTGACTAAATTTCCAAAGGCATCCCATTGATTCCAAACCTTATTAACAGCCTCTATCAAATTTATAAAAGTACAATTAATACATTATAGCACAGACAAAATAGGGGACACAATAAATATAATTATTTTAATTGTCAAAATATGCTAAACATTTATTAACATGAAGATATTTGATCAAATTAAAAGAAATCCTTGCATACTTAATAAAGAATTGGTCTTGGAGACAAGAAGACTTGAGTTCAGGTGCTGCCTGTCACACAAACTAGCCATGTGACCCTGGGCTAGTTACTTAAACATTGTGCTCCAGGTAACACTTTATGACTATTTACATTGCAGAGTGTCTACCTGCATTAGGAGACATCTCATCAGAGAAGTCCTCTCATATTCAGGCTATATTTTTCCCCCTTTTTATTTACTAATTTAATTTATTTATTTTTAGTTTTCAACATTCACCTTCATAAGATTTTGATTTCCAAATTTTCTGCCCATCTTGCCCCTCCACCCACCCCAAGGCAGCATGCATTCTGAATACTTCTTCCCCTAGTCTGCCCTCCCTTCTATCTCTCCCTCCCTTCTCTTATACCCTTCACTTTCTGCTTTCCTGTAGGTCAGGATAGATTTCTATACCCCATTTCCTGTATTTCTTATTTCCCAGTTGCATGTGAAAACATTTTTTTAACATGTGTTTTTAAAACTTTGGGTTCCAAATTTTCTCCCTTCCTCCCTCCCCACCCACCCTCATTGAAAAGGAAAGCAACTCGATACAGGTTATACATGTGGAGTTGTGTGAAACACTTCCATAGTAGTCATGTTGTGAAAAACTAACCATATTTCCCTTAATCCTATCCCACCTCCCATTTATTCTATTCTCTCTTTTGACCCTGTCCCTCCTCAGAAGTGTTTGACAGTCTGCCTGTCCCTCTGTCATCCCCCTGCTCTCTTGTCCCTTTCCTCCCTTCATTTTCCTGTAGGGTAAGATAAATTTCCATACCCAATTGAGTGTGTATATAATTTCCTCCTTAAGCCAAATCCTATGAGAATAAGATTCACTCATTCCCTCTCACCTTCCCCCATTTCCCCTCCACTGTAAAAGCCTTTTCTTATCTGTTTTATGTGAGATAATTTACCCCATTCTACCCCTCTTTCTTATTCTCTCTGTATAATCGTCTCACCCTTTAATTTTATTCTCTAGATATCAGCCCTTTATTTTCAGTTCTTCCTGTGCCATCTATCTATCTATCTATCTATCTATCTATCTATCTATCTACACATAATTTTTTTCCCTCCAACTATCCTAATACTGACAATGGTCTTATGAGTTACAACTATTATCTTTCCACTCAGGAATGTAAACAGTTCAACCTTAATAAGTGTCTTATGATTTCTCTCTCCTGTTTACCTCTTCATGCTTCTCTTGAGTCTTGTATTTGAAAGTCAAATTTTCTATTCAGCTCTGGTCTTTTCATCAAGAATGCTTGAAAGTCCTCTATGTCACTGAATGTCCATTTTTTTCCCCTGAAGGATTATAGTCAGTTTTGCTGGGCAGGTGATTCTTGGTTGTAATCCTATCTCCTTTGACCTTTGGAATGTTATATTCCATGCTCTATAGTCCCTTAATGTAGAAGCTACTAAATCTTGTGCTATCCTAATTGTGTTTCCACAATATCTGAATTGTTTCTTGCTGGCTACTTGCAATATTTTCTCCTTGACCTGGGAACTCTGGAATTTGGCTACAATATTCCTAGTTTTCCTTTGGGGATCTCTTTTAGGAGGTGATTGGTGGATTCTTTCCATTTCTATTTTGCCCTCTGGTTCTAAAATATCAGGGCAGTTTTCCATGATAATTCCTTGAAAGATGATATCTAGGCTACTTTTTTGATCATGGCTTTCAGATAGTCCAATAATTTTAAAATTCTCTCTCCCAGGTCTACTTTCCAGGTCGGTTGTTTTTCCAATGAGACATTTCACATTGTGTTCTATTTTTTTCATTCTTTTGGATTTGTTTTACACTGTCTTGATTTCTCATAAAGTCACTAGCTTCCAATTACTCTATTCTAATTTTTAAGGAAGTATTTTCTTCTGTAAGCTTTTGGACTTCCTATTACATTTGGCCAAGTTTGCTTTTTAAGGCATTCTTCTCCTCATTGGCTTTTTGGACTTCTTTTGCCATTTGAGTTAGTCTATTTTTTAAGGTGTTGCTTTCTTCAGTATTTTTTTGGGTCTCCTTTAGCAAGCTGTTGACTTGTTTTTTCATGATTTTCTTACATCACTCTCATTTCTCTTCTCAGTTTTTCCTCTACTTCTCTTACTTGTTTCTCAAATTCCTTTTTGAGTTCTTCCATGGCCTAGGACTAATTCATATTTTTCTTGGAGGCTTTGGGATGTAGAAGCTTTGACTTTGTTGTCTTCTGGTTGTAAGTTTTGATCTTCTTTGCTACCAAAGAAAGATTCTATGGTCTGACTCTTTTTGCTAGGCTTGGTCATGATTCCAGACAATTATTTGAATTTTAAACTCTCTGTTAAGGTAGGGGTCTACTTCCAGCTTTGGGGGTTTTGTGCAGCTGTTTTCAGAGATACTTCTATGAACCTGTAAATTTTCCAGTCTTCCAAGGTGGTATGATAAGGGGCAAGGTGTTTCCTCACCTGTGCTGTGGTCTATGAGTGATCACAAGCACTCTTTTCTGCCTTTGAACTGTGAGGAGGTTTTTCTCTCCACAGCCACTACATGCTCCACCATGCCAGCACTTCTCCTTGCCCCAGGACCACCACCCAGAACTATGACCCAGATCCAAGCACAGGTAAAGCAAAAGACTCCTGCACAAGTAGAGAGAACCCTGCAATTCCCCTCTGATCAGCCACTCAATTCCCCCTCAGGCTGTGGACTGAAAGCTCAGGAGGTAGCCGCCACCCTGGGGCCACACTCAAGGACTGGGACTGGGACAGAGCTCTCTCACTGTAGTCACAGACCTTTCCCACTGACCTTCTAAGTTGTCTTTGGGTTCATGGGTTAAGAGGTTTGGATACCACCACAGCTGTCTGTGATTCAGTCCTCTGAGGCGTGCTCCAGGTTCATTGAGGCCTGCCTTGACTGCATGCCTACACCCAACAGCACTCCTCTACCTGCCCGGTGCAATATACCTATCTGATCAACCCTCCAAGCTGTCTTGGGCTGGAAATTTGTTTCACTCTATCTTTTTGTGGGTTCTGCTACTTTAGAATTTGTTTAGAGCCATTTTTTATAGGTATTTGGAGGGATTTGAGGGAGAGCTCAAGCAAGTCACTGCTTTCACTCCACCATCTTGGCTCTTCCCCCAGGCTCTATTCTGATCTTTTCCATACTTAATGACTTAATTTGCACTCAGAAAATGACAGCAAATAGAGTTCTGGTTTTCAGTTTCCATTCTGCCTTGTTGTCTCTAAGACATTTAATATGTTTATCCTCATTCTTGTTTATACTCATTCCTTCCTTTCCTTCATTGAATTCTCCCTGTTCTCTGATGTCTCTAAATTCTTTTTTCTGTCTCCTCCCTTGTGTCTTGGAAGATGATTTCAGTTCTGCAATAGACACCTCAGAAATACCCTTTATTCTACATTCACACAGAGTGGAGAACTCCTTCCAAAATCTCCATTTAAGGGGGCCACTTAGGCTAGCCTTTTCTTTATTTTCACCAGCCTATAGTCAAGACTTCTTCATCATTCACTTGGTACTAGGGAACTGCTCCCACGTACCTTCAACTTCTTTTTAAGTATTGTTTTCCACTTTCAAAATATGAACTCCTCAAAGGCAGGAGGTTTGTCTTTTTTTTTTTTTTAGTTGAATATGTATTCTGAGTTCTTAGAATAACACCTGGTAAATAGTAAGTGCCTAATAAATGCTTGTTGACTGACTTTATGTTTCTCCCCACACTTCCCAAATGTTGACATTCCCTAAGGTTTTATCCTTAGCCCTCACTTCTATCTTTTTCTTATCCTTTGATGACTTTAACTACTTTGATATTTACTCTATTTGGATGATCCATTGACTTTGACTGTAACCATTCAGAAGAATTCCAATAAAGAACAATATCTGAATCCCTTCCTTACTTCTTAATTTCTCTTAATGATGACTTATGACTTACAAGTTATCATAATTCACAATCTCAGTATCCTCTTTTACTCTGCCTTTGGAACACTTTTCCATCCAATAAATTGCCAAGCACAATTGACTTTTTATAATGTGTTTCAAATCTGTCTTCTTTTTGTTCCCCAAATCATTGGGCTAGATGAAACCCTCAATACCTTGGACCATTTCTGTGACTTCTTAGCTGTGTTTGGGCCTCCATATTCTGACTTTCTTTAGTTAATATCCTTAAGGGATATGCCTGTTATAATTTCACTTCCTCAAAATCTTCAATGGATTTGTCTGAAGAAAAGTCTGATAATCTTAGTCTGATGTTTAATCTCACGCAAAATTATCTTCCTAGGTGTTTCACATCCTCCCATTTGACTTATTATAGGTTCTTGATAATCTGAATTAGTCACTTTTCCACAAACACATCCAATGTTTTCAAACTTTTCATTATTCCGGATTTGAAACTGTACTCCACCCTCAATTTTGGCTATCAAAATTCCCTTGTGCTTCCATATCTAGTTCAAATGCTACCTATTCCAAAAAGTCATCCATTATCCTTATGATCAGAAGCCATACCCCCTGGAATCACTTAGTATTATATTGTAAATTTTTTAAACACAGGATATTTAGCTAAAAGTTATGTTTCTATGTCTTATCTCTCTAACTTGACTGTAAACAACATAAGATTGTGTTCTGTTTATCTCTGTAAATTGAATTTTTTTAATATACGTAAGTTCTTTAAAATGTTTGCTGATTTTTCATGACCCTTCTACTTTGATGAATACAATGCTAGAATTTATTAAAACTCTTTCTTGCCCGCTGCCTGATTTTTTTTTTTTTAGTATTTAACCTAATTTCATTCAGGCTACAGGCATAGATTAGCTAACAGGTCTGTTATAAAATGATTTAGAACACTTTCACTTGTTCTGTTGTGATATCCCAAATGGTCCATTTTTATTTTATGACAGAATATACACCAATCACCTTCTGATTATACTGAAAAAGGCTGAAAAAATATTATCTAATACTTGAGTCTATAAATGTATATTAACAAAATTTAACACTAAAGACATTAGTAAATCAAATAGCACTTAGCTGAAAGCTATTTCACACACTGAACACATTTTCCAATGGCTTAGAAACTCTTTTCCCCCATTTGTCAGCATTGAACCACCCAGAAGACTATCAGCCTGTAAAATTACATTTGTATTGCTTATGATTTCTTTTATATTTAGGGGCTTAAATAAAAACCACTGCAAACTAAATATATGCAAATGGAATCAAGTTCAGAGTAGTTTAATTATAATGTCTAAAAACTCAAGATCAGAAAGAAAAAAAAGGTAACATTGATATAAATTCAGATTCTATTATAATAATTTAGAATGAAATTCACATTTAAAGAAAAACCCCTATATATTATATCCAGTTATGCATAATGTACAGATAGAAATGTATTATTTTAATTTAAATGTGTGGTTTTGATACCACATCCTATGGAAAACAATATGAAATCAAATATCTAGTAGACATTTTAAAGAAATTAATAGACCACACAATTATTATGTGTTGGATTTCTTTTTGCAACTCATTTCTTGAATTATTTTCTCTCCATATGCCATTCTTTAATCCTTAAAAGTTGCAGTAAAGGGTTAAGTAGTTTAAGTCAATAGTCCTTGCCCAGAATCTCATCATCAGTACCTTCTTTGGGAAACTTTAGGAAAAGACATTGGAAGATTGAACTCAGCAATTAGGAATACCCAGAAAAGGAATAGGTTCCCATGGAAAGTTGTGAACTCTTTATCTGTAAATCTAGAAGAGAATGCTGGAGGCCCATTACTTGCTTATCATAGAAGGGAATTATGCTTCAGGTACAGATTAGACAAATTAACTGTGATGGTCTTTTTCAAATGTAAGAGTTTAGAATGCTAAATATGGAAAGAAGAAACATAGTAATATTGTTTACAAGCCATTCAAGTCCAATTGAAGTGTTAATAACAACAACAGTAATAATTTAGTAATAAATTATAATGTGAAAAGTTATCTGATGGGAAAATATTTGAAATGATTTAGTTTATTATTTTCGGTGATCTCTACCAATTTACATCTGAGTCATCTTGTAAGTGTTCAAATTAGCTATGATAAAAAGAGCTAAAAATTCTCTGTATTTACACCAAAGGGGGTTTAGAAATATGTTTTAGTGGACATTATATTTTTGATTCATTGTTAAAGTCCATGAGTAAAAAATGACAAATTTGCAAATGACCAGGTCCATCTACATACTGCCAGAATGAACAAATACAATTTTAGATAAAAATTGTGCTTAATAATATCAAGAGATATACATATACAACATATGTGCTAATACAATACATATATTAATGTGACATGTTAATCACTCCAAAGCCTGTACTTGCAACACACATATATACCTACTTGAGCTTAAAATGTTTCAAAAAGATTATGCTTTTTGCTCTTCTTTTCAAAGTTGATTAGAGTTTTAAATGTCTTATTCTTTTCTGGTTACACCCATATACCCTGGCATGGTTGGCTTTTCCCTTGAGAAGAAGGATATGGCAGCATACCTGGACTACACTCCATGCAAATCTATGATTTTAATTCATTTTGCCACCATCAATTTCCTCTTCCAAAGCCTTATCATGCCATTTAGGTTATCTTGGATTGTTAAAGGTTCTGCCACTAGAATATAGTCTCTCAAGGTTCTGTTGCCATGGAAGTGATCCAAATGTGTTCTTCATGATGGTACACTGTAGCTGATTACAAAAGAGTTCATCTTATTGGATGAATTGTGATGGATTTCTCACCCATAGCAACCTATTTTTTTTTTGTGTACCTTATCTACTAAGATACAGAAGAAGCATGAATTATGTTGATGGTAAGCTGTGTTTCTCAATATTTAAACAAAAGATTCTATTTCCATGTACTGAAATTAAATATTTAATAATCTATGTAAGAATAAGGGGCTACATCTACTAGTTTCTAGATGTATTTTTTTCCTAATTGGTGCAAAGAACAAATCTCATAAAGAGTTTGCAAGCATTCAGATTTTCACTATTCAGAGCTATGATTAGGTAAAATATGGTAATTGGTTCCAATTTGTTGGAAGTATGCATTGGGAATACTAATAATGCAACTATGTCAGAGCATTCATTATTTGTACTAATTAGGATTTAATCATACTTCAAAGGCAGTGATTTTATTGGTGAGGGTAATCTATCAATAAATGAGTATTACAACCATTCCATGATTTAATATATAATTTCAGATCACTTTCCATATTTTTAAGGAAAAATACACATATCCTGTAGCAATGACTTTCAATCAAACTGTTATTTGCTCTTCTTATACTATAATCCAAGCCCAGGTTCATACTCAAAATTGATTTTTCCAGCTTGATAGGAGCTGCCAAAGAGTGTTTTCCATTGGCAGAGTCTTCACAATTTAAGGGGTCACTTCCATGGTAAAGTGACATATACTTTGGATTCTAGACATTGAGCTGATTTTTGTGGAAAATGTGATATCTCATTTGCAATCACTGTGCTAACTGGAGACCTTTGTACTACTTGTCATAGTTACTAAAATGATTCATAATTATCTTCTATTAATGACACTGTCTATAGTCACTTGATCCTTAAAATGAGAAAGGTTCATATGACTATGTCAAGCTCATGCCATGACATGAAAATTTCCAATTATTCAGTCGTTTATATATATACATATATACATACGTATATACATACATCGAAATATATATATATATATACACATACATACACACACACACACATACACACACACACACATATATATATATTTGCCATGGGCCAGCCTTGTTCCAAGTTGGTGCTTAGCTATTTGCATGGTAGAGGAGGAAAACTAATCAGTGGAGTCCACTGAGAATCTATTCATGAAAAATAACTAGATGGGAAAAGTAAAGGGAATCTTGTGTGGTCTTGATCAAAATCAGAGCCCTACCTGTATTATATCACCATAGTACTATAGACAGTGTATTCTTGAAGAATTCAGCAGAAATTAATGATATGAGGACAGGCTAAGGCTAGTGGTGAGGAACCCAGCTTCAATTATCGTCTCCATCCCTGATTTTTTTTGCCTTATTAGTAATTGGACACAAAATAGAAATGAACAAAGGTTCAAAGACAGATGTATAATATTTCTACCTCCATGCCATTGATTGTTCTGGGTCTTAAACCTGTGATGCCATCCCTTGCCCCTCTCTGCCTATGGAATTACTGTACATTCTTTAAAGCCCAGGTCAAATAGCACCTTCTTTCCAAAGCTTTTCCTCAACCCTTTAGTTGGTAAAGCCTATCCATCCCAGATGTCACATAGTGGCCAATATCAGAATTGTCACTGTTGTTGTTTTATTATTCTCCTGTCAGCTTTATGTAGTCAGGGATGGTTTCCTATCTAAACTTTGTACTTTACTTTGTACCTATCACTGTGTTCTCTGTGTGTTTTTCATGTAGTAGGGGCTTAATAAATGTTTGTGGAATGAATGAATTTCCAAACTCAAATCTCATATTACTGGATAATAAATTAGACCTGAAAGTGACCCTAGAGAACCTTGAATCCACCCTCATTTTATAGATGGGGAAACTGAGGTCCAGAGAAGATAAGTGACTAGTCCAGTGTCACATGTCTAATACAGGATTCTCACTCAGATCTTTCTAACTCCAAGTCCCATGCTCTATTCTTTGTACTATCCATTTCTCTCTTGTCAATGCCATTGTTTACTAGCCCACCATTAATTTTTAAATACTTGAGAGTTAGAACAGAATATTTGGACATACAATGTGATAATTCTTAAGACCTACATGTAGTTAAGTATGTGAAAAGAAAAAGATGGTAATTTATTGGGCTCACAATCAAACACATTCCTGGCTTTCAAAAAAAAACCCTACTTATAATATTATTATTTATTGATTAATGAGCCATTTTATATCAGTAGTTTAAAGTAGATGAACTGTAGCAAGGCCAGCAGCTCTTGATACAGCTACATGGCTCACAAGTCATTGCTTCTTTAATTATTTCTATTGTATTCTCAGGTTCAGGTTAGAGAAGAGCATTAAGGGGAATCATTCTAATGAAGACAAAAAGCAGAATGTAGTTAGTGATTAATGATTTATGAGTTCATAAATATATGAGCAAAATCATTATGCCAATAGCAACAGTTCCAGATGATTTGAAAGAAGGAAATTACATTATCCATCTGTTCAAAATGAGGTAACTCTAACAGGAGGCAATATTCATGGAGAGAAAAAATATTCTGTTTATGGTTCTCCTAGCCACTTGTTTAACCAGGGAGGTGGAGATACATTAGAAGAGCTTTCAGGCTGGAAGGTTTTTAATTCCATTACCATATAAGAATGTTGGAACTTGATGAAACCTCATGAGACATTCTAGTTGAAAACTTTCATTTTAGTGATGAGGACTAAGATATAGATAAAGGCAGCCAATGGAACAAAGTCACCTTGAAGTAGTCACAGCCTTTATTAGAATGAACCAAGATCTTGCTGGAAGACACCTCTAATTTTTACATAGACTTCAAAATACTTAGTTCCAGTGTATTGAAATAGAATCACAGGTTGGCAGTGTTGGAAAGGATCTCTGAGTCCTGTCACAACACTTGTTGATTATAAAAGAGAGGTCTTGAAAGTTGAAGTGAGTTTTCTGAGATTACAAAGCATATGAGTTAGTGTTTGACCTGGAAACAAAACCCAGGGGTCCCTACTCCAAGTCTAGCATCCTTTCTAGTATGCAACAGTTCCTTTTGGTGCAGAAAGTATAAATATAAACCTTGAAATATTATATGAATGTAATTTTTATTAAGTGTTATGTATTTGTTGTTCATTAAATGTCACATAAATTGGCACATGTACATTAAAACACATTTCAAGGAAGACTTTCTAACCTCCTTATAAATACAACAGCACACAGATAAGCAGAAAGTGGCTACTCTAGTACCTTTAAATACATCAATCATGATTAAGTCAGATTAAGTTGAAGTGAGAGTATGTTTTCACTTAAGGGCTACAACTCATGTAGATTCATTGTGAATCAACTGATTTTCATTAGCTTTGGCTCATTCCAAGTTTCCTCTATTCCCTCTGCGATAAGAGCCCCAAGCTATGATTGAACAACAATAAAGAAACTTGGACACTTACATTGAAAAACCATTAGGCTGATGTTGCCTATCATGGTGTTCATTCAATGATAATCCTGGGTCACAGATATGACCAGTCTATCCTCAAATGCCTATACAAGCTTGAACTTTTCCTTGAATTGAATCAAATACTTGTGGGGCTGGAACATGGAGAAATGCCTAAGACTAACTCTTTGGGCTAGAAATCCTCATGAGCTGGGCTCAGAATATGACTTTTCCCCTTGCCCCATATTCACTCAAGCATCCATAGAGCTTGATAATTGCAAAAATTTCAGGAATCTTGGAATTTGTGCCAGATTTAGAGCATGAAATACAGCTCTGCTAAAAGTTTCAGCATCATAAAATAGAGAGCCAAGAACTTAACTCTTCTAGAATAAAGCATCATTTTGCCATGATTCCCAATATAAACTGTCTGTAACATATAGACACCTCAAAGGTTACCCTTTTAGGAAGGGGAAAAAAGATGAAATGATTAAAGAAGGTCATAAAGGAAGAAATTAAGCTGGTTATGGTTTAAAGATAATCAATAGTTCTAGGGCTAGGTTGGTGTAGATACATGGTTTAACATTTTTTATTCAATTTGAATTAAAAGGTTAAAAAGCTCTCTCATCTCCAATGTTAAGTGGAAGTGATTTTGAAACAGAATTTTACTGCAGAATTTGCCCTTGGCTTAAAATGAGGGTTAGGTGAAGATTTATCCTACCAGAGATACATTAGATCACAGAATTGCAACTCATTTTAGCACAGGGGTACTATTGAGAACATCTGGCAGTACCTTAATAATAGCATACTGTTCAGACAAGTGGTGTGATGGTCTATTCTTCAGTAGCTGGAGCACATCTGGAATGCTGTGCTCAATTCTGCGTGTGACATTTTAAGTGGGAGTGAATGCAGAGGCAAGTAAATGAGAAGCTGTGTCACCAAACGTAACATATGACCATGACATAAGAGCAGTACTTGAAGGAACTGGTGATGGGTAGAACAAGAAGGTTTGACATTAGAGTTGACTTGGAGCATGTGAGATATCTTATAGGAGATGCATTTAACCATTTTATTTTTTACTTTGTGGCCAGAATCATAAATAATATAGAAATTTCTTCAAGGAACATTTTAAAGCAATAGAAAGGAAACTATCTTAACAGTAGGGTTCATAACCATCTAGTTGGGAAGTGGATAGAATAAAAGACTTTGAATCAGAAAGACTGGAGTTCAAATTGATCTCAGACATTAGCTGTGTCCCTGACCAAGTCATTTAAGCACTGTTTACCTCATTTTCCCTGTCTGCTAAACAGGGATAATAATAGCACCTAATTCCCAAGGTTGTCATGAGGATGAAAGGACATAATATTGTAAGTGCCTTGCAAACCTTAAGGCATTATGTAAGTGTTAGCTATTATTATTCATAAGAAAATAAAATGAGTTGTCACTCAAAATAGTGACTTTCTAAGTAAGTGAGAGGGCTCACACATAGGTCAGGTGGCCACTTGTCTGGAGGTACTGTTGAGATAATTTTTGGAGTGGCTAGGGTTTGAAATAGGAGAATGCTAAGGTGCCTTCCAAATCTACAAGTCCACATTTGTTGTGAATCATTTACTCCCCATCCTTGATCTTATACACTAGGATATCATGAAATACTGTCAAATACCCATTAGGCTTATAGATATACTGGCTCTATGACATAACCCTGATAT